TAAAGGAAAAAGCTTGAAGTGCAGGAGAAATGGTGGAAACTCTTAACAGCCTGTCAGTACAAACTTAGGAGAGCATGTCCGTACCAAACAACCAAAAGCGGGTTACCTCAAAATTCAGAACAATGTGAATGCCGACTAATTTTTGACTATTGCTAAAATAGAGAGAGTGGGGTTGAGGGTTCCCAGGTTGAAGAATTGGGGGCTTTGCCTGCTCTTGATGGCCTTGCCTTCCTTCGGAAGGAGCAGCCTCTCAGTCTTGGTCCCAGGTAGCTTCCATGGCAAAGAACTTTGCACCCTTCCCTGGACTTGGCCACTGAGACTCATGCGCTAGTAATCTCCATTTATACTTAAATACTTATTTAAAAACCTATCTTAGCCCAAGATATGAACTGAGCTACTACTAGGGCTGCCACACGTCCGGAATTTCCCAGACATAGCCGGAATTTGACAGTCGTAAACAGTGTCCAGGCAAAAATCGCTGAAATGTCCAGGAAAGTGGAAAAAACTAGAAAAGCTCAACAACTTTTGTGTCTGGATATTCACTTTTGAAATACAGCAACCCTAACTACTACATATTTATAAATGTAGGTTGAACTAAAACATGTATTAGCTTACTCCTTTGGGTAGTTCTTTTGAGCCAAGAACTATATTGCAAAATTTGGAGAAGGGGGCAATCTGAAGACTCATTCTGTTCCAGCCTATGTCTTAGTCCAGGCGATGTGGCTTCACTCTGCTCCCTTCTCCCCCCTCTCCACCATCCCCTGGGTCAGATGTGTCTTGCAGGTCACAGAGCCAAGTGGGATATACCCTTTCTTTATTTGCATGGGATTGGGGAACCTTATTTGCTAAGTTTCCATTCTTTCTTTCATTGGCAAGCCTGCCATACTCACATACACACACAAAACACCTCTCTGCTAACCAATGGCTGAAGGAATTTCACTCCTGTGGGAAGATCAAAATAGACTTTGTGAGCTGAAATAGAGGGAAAACTTCCTTTTCGTCTGGAGAGAGTTTCCAGCTGGCATTTCTAACTGTGGAATGAACTTCCTGTTTCTTCGTGGCTTCTTTGTTCTGAGAGAACATATGGCTGACTCTAGTTTGAAATATGGTTATCAAAGGACTGCTGGATTTCACGTAAGGCTATAGCACCCTGCAAACCATAAACCATCTAAGGCCACGCTGGGAGATCGGGAACTTTGCCAAATTAAACTTTAGTTCTACAAGTTTTGTGCTTTTGTCGTTACTGGTTTTCTGCCCTTTTCTTTTAAATGCCATGTAAACTCTTATTTTCTTACACAAATGACTTTTTGCTGTTAAACTGTATGCTGTGCCTTGTAGGTTCTGATTCTGCCCTCTTACTCACTGGAGAGCTAAGGAGTTCTTCTGACGCTTTTAAAATATGGGAATAGTGAGGCATCATCAATGGGCTGTTGGAATAAAAATGGAATGATGCTGGTAGATGGAGTTCTTGTTTTGAAAAAAAAAACAGTTTTTGGCCATGTGCACTGCAAATGCACTGGGAGCAAGAACAGGAAGCTGAAGCAGTAACTCCGCCCCACGCTCGGTTCAGGGTTGTCTCTACAATCTCAGGATTGTAAGGGGGGGGGAGGGTCCTCTTGGCCATGACTATTAATTTTAGAATAGGCTCTTGCAATACAGTGTTGCTACTAGATCTGGCAGGGGGAGCAAAAACTGATGTGGAAATGTGGAGAAGTAAACTTTATACTGGAAAAAAAGAGAAACCAAACGAGCGATTCATCCATCCCTAATCCTGGCAAATGTAAATTTGTAAAATTTAAATGTTACATACTAATTTTAACAGGCTCTTTGTGTGTTCATGTATCATTCCTTTTCATTTGAAAAATAAAATAAATATTCATTCTGAGATCCTTCTGCTGCTTGAGGCTCTTCATGTGATCCGCTTCCCAATTAAATTAAAAAGAAAACAAAGCACAGCAATATTTGATTGGCCAGCCTGTTCACACAGGGGCTTCTGGGGACGCCACCCATGTTCAGGGCCGGCCTTATCATGAGGTGGCCTGTGGCGGCTGCCTCAGGCGGTAGGATTCTGCTGGAGTCCAGAGGTGACATGTCCTGTCGCCGCACCTGCTGCTGAAGACGCAGCTTGGGAGATGCTGCTCAGGGGGGTGGCTTGGGGGTGAACTGGTCACCAAGGCACCCTCCAAAATGGTGCTGAAGCCGCTGCCAAGGCCCGTTGGCTCCTGATGAAGTGCCCATTGGTGGCCCACAGGCCTTGCCACCATTTTGGAAGGGCCTCAGCAGCCACTTCCTTGCCAAACCACAAGCGGTGAAATAGGACAAGCCATGCCTGCCTGTGGCCTGCGCATTTTATGCTGGCCATGAGAGGTTGGGGGAGCCAAGTAAAAGTGACAACGATCAGCTGTGTGTGGTTATGGGGCTGGCTGAGACCTGCTTGGGCTCCCTGCTGCTGCACCCCCAGCTGAAACCTCAAAGGCCCCACTGGGGAGGGGAGCGAAGGGTTGTGCCCAACCAAGTTATACTCCATCGCAGCAGACTCATTAAAGTTAATGAACCTAAGTTAGTAATGTGCCTTAATTTCTGTGGCTCTGCTCTGAGTTAATTCATGCAAGGGGTGGGGGAGAAATTTGGTTAAGGACACTAGGAGAAGCAAAGCTACCAGATCCACACTTTCTGAAGGAACTGAAAGACAGCCATCCTTCGAAATGTGTCCCCCTCTGAAATTTACAGCACAATTCCAAAACCAAGCAATGTATACCCCCAAAATAAGTACACTTTGAGGTGAAATGTACATTAAAATGCATATTTATGTGAAAATAACATCACGAGTTCTAATAGGGGAAACTGGTTAGCAGAAATGTGCATATGAGACAAAATTGCATGCAAGCATGTGTTCCTTAGGATACACTCAGATGCTGATGGATTTTTATGGGGACTTAAAAAAGAACAACCCTCAAACGAATATGGAAATGTGGAGACTAGAAAACTGAGAAACAGAGAAAATCTGAAGTTGACAGATTTTTCCCAGGTTTTATTCTCTGGGAAAAGCTGCTTTTCACAAAACTGGGTTTACTACCCATTCATTAGAAGGGCACGGGTGGCGCTGTGGTTTAAACCACAGAGCCTAGGACTTGCCGATCAGAAGGTCGGCAGTTCGAATCCCCGCGACGGGGTGAGCTCCCGTTGCTCGGTCCCTGCTCCTGCCAACCTAGCAGTTTGAAAGCACATCAAAGTGCAAGTAGATAAATAGGTACCGCTCCGACAGGAAGGTAAACAGCGTTTCCATGCGCTGCTCTCGTTCGCCAGAAGCGGCTTAGTCATGCTGGCTCCCTCAGCCAATAAAGCAAGATGAGCGCCGCAACCCCAGAGTCGGTCACGACAGGACCTAATGACCAGGGGTCCCTTTACCTTTTTTAGCCATTCATAAATTCCTCTGTTAAGATTCCTGTATGTTTATGTTCCTATATGGCAGAACATCAAGTGTACCTTAGTGAACTTAGACATGGTGCTGCCTCCCTTTTAGCCTCATGCCACTGTAACTTTTAGCAAATATGTAACCCCATGGAAAAAGCACTCCAGTTTATTTTGGGTGCCCACCAAGCCATTTGGACAAACTGAGCAGTGTTATAATTTAGGATTAGAAGATACTGTAAAGATACTTTCAACGTGACTACATAATGTTGTCCATAAATTTCAGCCAGTATCTACAGACATCTAAACACACTTTTTATTGGGTTTATTTAATAATAGGGTGCACTCATTCAGTGTAGCCAATCCCAGTAGCTTTGGGTTTGGGTTTTCAGCCTTTTCTGGTTCTATGTGCATGACTGAGGGGGCTGTTGTCAACATGGTCAGGGGATCTTTTACAACCCTCGGCTAACTCCACAAAGACCATTAGAAGGACTCTTGTGTGGTTAAGAGCGGTAGTCTCATAATCTGGGGAACCGGGTTCGTCTCTCCGCTCCTCCACCTGCAGCTGCTGGCTGACCTTGGGCCAGTCACACTTCTCTGAAGTCTCTCAGCCCCACTCACCTCACAGAGTGTTTGTTGTGGGGGAGGAAGGGAAAGGAGAATGTCAGCCGCTTTGAGACTCCTGAAGGAGAGTGAAAGGCGGGATATCAAATCCAAACTCTTCTTCTTCTCCTTCTTCTTCTCCTTCCTGTATTTCTGTGTGAGCCCTGAAGAGTGTGGTCAAGAGTTGTAATATGGATATTAATGGCACTACACAAGTTACGGATAAATAAATAAAAATGAAATCCTTGAAGTGCAAGACCTTCACACCTCCATTCCCTGTGAGAGGGGCCCCTTCACAACCGGCCGTGGGGTCTGGGGAAGCCCTGTTCTCTTCTTCAATGGGGTTGTTTCACGACAGACCGCTACACCTTTGCAGCATCTGTGCTACTGACTCACGAAAACCAAAAATTAATCTGTTTGAGTTGTGCAACTCAAAGTGGGTCTCCTGGACTCAAAGTTTTTAAGCAGTTTGAGGTAAAGTTGGTTCTGAGGTCCCTCCAGGATGAGGGACCTTGAAGCTTAAGCTTCATTTGTTTAATAGTAGAGCCACCCTTGACTGTGATTTATTTATTTATTATGCATTTTCCAATTTCCCTGTTTACACAACAGATTTCACCATCCAACATAATTTCTATACCGACGTCCCAACCTAACCTTCCATGGCATTCTTGGTAGTCCTAGCTAAGCTGCATATCAGTTTATTAATCCACCCTGCTGTTCTCCTTGTTGTCCCACCTTGTAGCACCCTTGACTGTGATTGCAGAGAAAACTTTCTATATGCATGAGTCTCCTTCACTGGATTGGAATTTACATCATTGCCTTTTCTTGTGGACAAGTAACAACCCACCCCCGCAAAAAACAAAAAAACCACTCCTAGAGGAGTCCAATTAAGCCAGTCAGGCATGTTCAATCTGAACAAACTCTTCATAGTGAATGCTTTGGGTTTTTGCTTTTGTAAAGATGGAAAGAAAGAGAAATACTACAAGTTACAGATATAGACTTTATAGATGTTGATACAGTTTTCACATCTGCATTCCAACAGAAGTAAGAAAAGAAGTTGAGGAAGCAAGGACATCACCATGACCATTACATGTCTAATGGCATCTCTTTCAAACTCTCCCACACATATATTATTTGCTTTCCCAATAAAAGTATGTGGCAGACTCTGTCCAAGGAAAAGGCATTGAAGTGTTCCTCTCTTACAAACCTGGCGTATTGGTAGACTCCTGCTGGGATGCTAAGGCTGAGGTTAGCCGGCTAAGAGCCCTTGCAATGACAGAAAGGTGGTTGTTCATGGTCTTCAGCTCTGCCAGGATGTCCCCTAGAGTTGCAGGTGCCTGCTCAGAAGGTGGGGGAATGGCCAGGAATGACGGCGGAGGTGAGAAAACGGATTCAGGAGGCTGCTGCTTGATGAACCCTGCCTGGACACTTCCTCCTTCGCTAAGGGCAGGCAGATAGGTGCTTCCACTCCTCTTCACATGCTCTGTCTCTGTGGGTGGCTGCTCTTCCTCCTTCCCCCGCTTTGTGCTGGTCATCACTGAAGCGAGGTATGGAAGCCAGTCAATAAGGTGAGGAGCAGGGCTGGGTGAAATGGCTGCCCCCGCAGGGGAGCAAAGGCTCGGCTGCAGAGCTGAAGCAGAGGCAGCTGGTGGTGCAGTGTAAGAAAGCCCAGGATTCGGGGAGGAGGTGGAAGCAGAGGTTGGGTTCAGCGTGGCAGAAGCTGTTGTTCGCAGTGGCATTTCAGGATTCAAGGCCATGGTGCAGGTGGACAGTGGTGGTGAGAACATGGAGGCCTCGCAGCCATAGGGAGGGGATGGTGAGGGAGGAGCTGTGAGAGTTGCAGGATCTTCAGAAGATGATGGTGAGGCAGTGGCAGAGGGGGTGTCAGGGGTGCAAGGTTCTGAGTCTGTAAGAGAAACAACAATAACCAACAATAACCAAGAAAAACAATAATGACCATGCAGTATAAACAGAGGTGGGGAGGGATGCCACTGGCTGGATGGAAATAGAAAATCTGAGGTGTATGTTCCTAATATCCTAGCCTATCTCTTTCTAGTTCCATTCCCCTTCCCTTAAATGTGCTCCCCTTGCTAAATTCCTTGTTGCTAAAAAGGACGGCAGCAGCTTATCAGACCTAGGAATAGATGTGCAAGTCTATATATGGTCTGTTTCAGTTTTGCATGTTTCCATTCTATCCCATTTCTGCATTACTATAAGAGTTATTAAAATAAATTATGTATTTTATCTCAGTGTCTGCAATTTAAAACACATTTTATTTTAAAATACTAATTTTATGTTGTTGTTTTTACTTTTTAGAGTCAACAACCAAATTCTAAAATGTGTACAAAATTGAAAGGATAATTATGTTCTGATCCATAGTAAGGTGTGACTTAAAAATTGTACCTATCCCGATTGCGGGAGGTAGTGGAGGACAGAGGTGCCTGGCGTGCTCTGGTCCATGGGGTCACGAAGAGTCGGACACGACTAAATGACTAAACAACAACAACATCCCTAGGACAAAATTCAGCAGGTGTGAGGCTCTCCCTCACCTCTGCCCTCATTAAATGCTGATTAGAAAGTTGAACATCACACCTTTACGTAGAGAACAACGAAAAGTAGAGGGTGCCACTGTGAGGGGACGTGGTGTGACCATAATGAAGAAATCCTGCACTTTTGAATTTGCCATTACTCTACTGTGTAAAGCGAATACTGCATAAGGAAAGCACATAGCCCCAAGGAATCCTTACCTCACATTTTCAAATATAACCCCACTAGTTTCTAGCTATGCAAAACCCTGCTTGCTTAGGATTCAGCTTCACTGACTTCTCCTTGTTTTGTGCCCCATCTATGGTTTGGAACCTGGTGGTTGAAATATAGAAATTTTACTATTTCTCTCCCTTTGCATATTCTTTTTCAAGGTCTGGCATTGCTGTGAACATTGCACAAGGAAGGAGATAAGCTGGACTTGCTTGGGCCAGGCCAGGCCATCAGCTTCCATTTGACCAGTCCAACCATTCTGGGCACAGGGAATATGCAGAAGTGTCCAGTCCAAATTGGCAAAAGGTGGATAAAGGGTAGAAATCAAAAGAAAAAAGAGAGCAAGGGGCAGAATTGAGAAGAAGAGGAAGGATGAGCTACTTAAAAATAATAACTGATTTAACGAAGCGGTAATTTGAAGAATGATAGGAACAGCAACAACAAGCCTCTTATCCTGAAAGGGTTAATTTGTTGTGTGCTGTTCTCAGCTTCTCCTGATAGGTTGAAAAGCTGGTCCTCTGCACTCCAGACCAGCACAGAGGCAGGAATCCCAGTTCCAACAAAGGCATAGTGAACCACACACTATTGGATTTCGTTCATCCATCACTAAAAGCAGCCTTCTGCCTCAATTTTAACTCTTGATCTGTTGGGAGTTAATGTTTTGGTCGGCCTGCTTTCATTGCATCATTAATTTTATCTAGCCTGAAGTCAAATCACCTACAGCTGCAGTCTGTGCATATCCACGAATGAGCTCTGGCAGAAAGAGGCCCTTGCATAAAATGTTGGGAGTACTGTGGACTTGCCATCTTGACAGTAGCAATGCACAAATTCAGAAATAGAGGTTTTTTCATTATTGTTGCTCATTGCTATTACAATGCAATAATTTTGGAACACACACTCAAAAATACGTACATTAATTTGCATATCTTACTGTATGGTTAGGAAGCATCATCAAACAGAGCTTGTAGGGCAGCAGTTGAAGAAGGAGCAAAAAGGGTTTTCTTGTGTGTGTGTGTGTGTTTCTTTGTGGCTGATTAGCTGCTCTCCCTGTGCAAAGGTCAGAGGGGGCAGGGCTTCTGTTGAGGTAGGTGATTAGCTGTGGGCAGCGGCGTGTGCCTAGCGGCGCGTGCAGTTTGATCCATCTTTTAGATTTAGGGGAGCTAGTCTCAAACGTTTGTTGGGGGAGACCTAGGGTTTTTTTTTTAGGGGGGTTATTTGTCCTGTCTTCACGCTTTATAAGATGGAGGACCACTGTAGCCACCCCCAATGACACGTTTTCAAGATGGAGGGTGAGGGAACAGCTGCAGTCGCCTGCGGTTCCTGCGCAATGTTTGCCATCTTGCCAAAGGTTGCAGGCAGCTTTACCTACAGCAATTGTATGTTGATTGCCCTCTTAAAAGACAAAGTCCATCAACTGGAGGAACGTGTAGCTACGCTCCAAAGAATTAGAGAGCTGGAGCTCTTCTTGGAAGCAACAGAGAACACCGTCTCCACCAAGGAGGAGACAGGGGACACCCCTGAGAAGGAGGCTAGTTCACCAACACAGGTGCCAGATATATGGAGAAACGTGACTCAAAGAAGTAGGAGGCCAAGGGTTCGCTCTTATTGTTTAGAAATACACAATCGCTTTGAAGTCCTCTCCCCTAGCATGGAAGACAAAGAACAGACTCCATTTGAGGATCTCTCCCTCATTACAGTCGATCAGGTATATGAAGACGAGCAGCAAAGTCAGTCCTCAGGGAATGTGCAGGCGACCTTGGAACGGACAGCTCACGGAAGAACCCCAACCAAACCTAAGAGGAGGCGTGTAGTGGTGATAGGGGATTCCCTACTGAGGGGAACAGAAGCAGTGATCTGTGGGCCTGACAAGATGTCTCGGGAAGTGTGCTGTCTCCCCGGGGCTAAGATCCAAGATGTAACTGAACGACTGCAAGGAATCATAAAACCCACTGACAAATACCCCTTCCTCTTGGTTCATGTGGGAACCAATGACACTGCAAGCAATAGCCTCCAGAAGATCAAAAGAGACTAAGAGGCTCTGGGCAGGAAATTGAAGCAATTAAATGCACAAATTGTCATCTCATCTGTCCTCCCAGTTGAACGACGTGGCCCAGGGAGAGAGGGGAAAATATTGGAAGTGAACAGCTGGCTTCGCAAATGGTGTAAACAGGAACGGTTTGGATTCTTAGATCATGGACTGCAGTTTCTTGAAGATGGACTTCTGGCAAGCGATGGGCTGCACCTCACAGTGGTTGGGAGGAATGTTTTTGCCAAAAATATCAGAAACCTCATCAGGGGGGGGCTTTAAACTGACTAATGTGGGGGAGGGAGACAGTGCACCTGAAGGTAGGAGTCTATCATTTGATGAAGATGATCATCTAAATGTCATAGACCGAATGGAGCAAATAGCATGCAGACCTAGTGGTGGGAGGAAAAAATCCTTAAATAAGAGACACGGGGGAATGATTAATGGACTTCAATGTCTGTACACTAATGCGCAAAGCATGGGAAATAAACAAGATGAGCTTGAGCTCTTGGTACAGCAAACTAAATATGACATAATAGGCATCACTGAAACCTGGTGGGATAAGTCCCACGATTGGAATGTAATAATGGAGGGATACAATCTATTTCAGAGAAACAGACCAGACAAGAAAGGAGGAGGAGTGGCGTTATATGTCAGGGATGTGTATACCTGTGAAGAGATCCAAGATTTAGAACCTCAAAGCCAAAGTGAGAGCATTTGGGTCAAAATTAAGGGAGAGAAGAATAACAGAGACCTCATTGTGGGAGTTTACTATAGATCCCCAAGCCAAACGGAGGACATAGATGATGCCTTCCTGGAACAGATGGCCAAGCATGCAAAAGGAAGGGAGATAGTAGTAATGGGGGACTTCAATTACCCGGATATTTGTTGGATGTCAAACTCAGCCAAGAGCATAAGGTCAAACAGATTCCTCACTGGCCTTGCAGAAAACTTCATTGTCCAGAAAGTGGGAGAAGCAACAAGAGGAACAGCCATTTTAGATCTGGTCCTAACCAATGTTGAGGACCTGGTTAGTGGGGTAGAAGTGGAAGGATCATTAGGCGCGAGTGATCATGCTCTTCTGAAGTTTACTATACAGCGGAAAGGAGCAGCCAAGCATACTAGGACTCAATTTCTTGACTTTAAGAAAGCCGACTTCATAAAACTTAGGGAAGTGCTGGGTGAGATCCCATGGACAGTAATACTAAAAGGAAAGGGAGTTCATGATGGCTGGGAGAAGAGGAGGTTAAGGGGTGATATGATAGCCATGTTCAAATATATAAAAGGATGTCATATAGAGGAGGGAGAAAGGTTGTTTTCTGCTGCTGCAGAGAAGCAGACACGGAGCAATGGATCCAAACTACAAGAAAGAAGAGGTTCTGCAGACATAGTAGACGGTGACTGCTGCAGAGAAGCCATATAGGAAGTTATGTTCTTTTTCTATGCTACTAGCAGCAAAGTCCAGTAGAAACCCATCACGGTGACACTGTTACCCTTTCGGGTGAGAGACATCACCCTGCAGCTAGGGGCTCTTCAGCTTATCCTGCCACTTTCCCCTGGAGAAACCTGTTGTTTACTACTGAATCAGAACAAATGTCAGTAGACCTTTTGGACCTGTGCTTTCTAGGTGGCAGTTGTAGATGAGCCCTGAGTCTTGATGAAGCATTATTCCTAGTGAGCCCTTGTGGAAGGACTGCTATCAGTTGTTAAACTATTTTTTTTTAAAGGTTTCTCCAAAAGCCACTGTGGCTGCTCCACTTGTCCAGGTAAGTCCCCCCACCCACCAAAAAAACTCCTCAACATTTCCCCCCCATCCCTGCCCCCCCCAACTATGGTGGACAAGTGATCCTGATTCAGCCAAAGCTAGCGTACCAGATTGTCAGGGAACCGCCATCTGTTCAGGAGGGAGAGAGCAAAAGCCAAAAGGATTATAGCCTACAGGGATCGTGGGAAGTAGCTCCTCTTCAATGGAGGAGAGTAAACATGGAGAGGAGGTGCAGGAGTCGGAAGTGACGAGGAGGTCCCAGGACTCCTTGCCTGGGAGAAGCGGGGAGGAAAGGGGTCCTCCGCTGCCCACGCCCTCCTTGCGCAGAAAGCATCCGCGCAGAGAGGGGAGGCGCAGACTGGGCGTCAAGAAGCTGCTTTGCTGGAGAAAGTTTAGGAACCGCCCACTCACGGATTCTGCTAGCGAGATGAGTGGGGCTCCAGACAGATAAGGTTTATTTTGGCAGCAAGAACAAGGCTTCACAGCCAAGCAAGGAGATATTTGCCTGCTTGCTCTCGAGCAACCCCTTGGAAACATAACACAGATGAAGCTGGCAAAAGTAATTTCTAATCATAAAGGTCACTTGGGTCTCTGATGACAAAGATGCGTCTAGGAGTACCCCCAGGTTATGCACTTCCTCCCTTAGTGGAACTGCAACCCCATCCAGAACAGGCAATTGGTCTCTCTTCTGGATATGGCAATCCTGTACACACAGAATGTCTATCTTCCCAGGGTTCAAATTTGGTTTATTGGCCCTCATCCAGTCCACCACAGCATTAAGGCACTGGTCCAGGGCTTGCACAGCCTCTCCCAATTCCATCGTTCTGGAAATACTGAGCTACGTGTCATTAGCATACTGATGGCAGCATGCTGCAAAACTTCTAATGACTGCTCCCAGTAGCTCCATACAGATATTAAGTACCACCACTGTGATGAAATGGTTAGAGGGTTGGACTGTGACCTGGGTTCAAGGTTCAGGTCCTTACCCTGCAGAGCCCCATAGCACAGGTGATGGGGGTCGAAGAGAACTCCCCCAGAGTTACTCTCCAGACTTGACCACGCAGATAGGAAAGGAGTCCTGGTAGTGCAGTGTTTCTGATACCCAGCCAATTCAGTCCAGAAGGAGACCATGGCCAATAGTATCAAAAGTGGCTGAGAGGCCAAGTAAGAGAAGCAGGGTTGCACATCCCTTGTCTCTCTCCTGATACAAGTCATTCATCAGGGTGACTAAGGCAAATTCAGGCTTGAAACCGGGCCTAAACCCATACTGAATTGAATCTAGACCAGTCGTTCCCAATTGGTGGGTCTGCATAACCCACCCAGGGTGTCCGTGGCACCAGGCACATAAAAAAAAGCTACCGTAGAGATATCAACATTTTCATAAGTGGGGTCCATGACTTGGCTTTTGAAACATCAGTGTCATCCAGGAACAGTAGCATTTGCTGTGCTGCCACCCTGTCTACTGCCTCACCCCCCCCAAAGGGTATTGGCAAATGGCCATTGTTACTGGGTCGGGGGGGGGGGTTTAAAGAGTAGCTTCACCACCTCCTTGTGAAGGGCAGTTGGCACCACCCCATCATGCAGTGATGGGCACAAAACACCCTGGGCCCACCCCAGCTGGGGAAAGCTGGGGGAGACAAACCAACCTATGTAGCCAGGAAGGGAAAGGGATGAGATTCTTCCATATGCAAAAAAATGAATCAAAAACCATCCAGCACACCCAGGAGAGTGTTTTCTTGGTCTGATGGCACAAATTCCCCCCTTCTCACCATTCTGCCAATAGTTATGGCAAACTCCAGTCAGTGCCACCATTTCAGATTCCAGACTGCAAATCTGCAAAGATTTAAGGAACCAGTCGATGGGAGGACTTAGGAATCCACCTGTCACTCAGTACGTTTGGCCTGCAAGTGCTTCTACCCCCTGCATTGATACTGAAAGCAAAATAAAAGCTTGTGAACCCCATGCTGCCCTTTTAGGGGTCAAACTGTCTCCCAAATTGTGCAAGGATTAAGTGTTATCCACAAGAATGCTGCTTGCTGTTGAACATCTATTCTGTCCATATGATTGATTTCCTTCACCACTGTCTAGTCTGGCTGAAGGTGATTCCTTCTAAATGAAGATGCCCAAGTCCACTAAAAACACAATCTTTTTCAGATTACCTTGAGCAAGGTGACCGGCTGTTGTTTTATGGAAAGTGTATTGCAGATCAAGACTACATACCACCTAACAATCCTGTCTGAATTATACCCTTAGGCGTATATGAGGCCACCACAAAGAATTTCTGCATGATCTTAGGAAATATTTCTAGGAGGAAAGAGTAAAAATCAAGTTGCTTAAAATAGGAATCAGAATATAAGCTCAGGTATCCTATGGAGTGAGAAGGAAAAAGACAACTCCATTTTAGTGACCACCATTATTGAAGCAGCAGTCAAACCCCTGATTCAAATCTGAAAGAAAAAGCAATGACTCAACATGGAAATGTTTTCTGCTAATTAATTCTATGAACTACATTTTATAAAGTGATGGATAAGAGAGATCCATAGAGCTGAGGTCAAGCTGGGCAAATTTTATTTTATTTTTATTTAAAATAAGAATGTACAGAACATGTTTTTGAGTCCCACTTAAAATGATTTAAAAACAACAACACCCCCCCCAAAAAAACCCCAGAAGGGCCTAAAGTGTGTTATGTGGAACATGAGGTGAGACTAGGATTGCTCAAGTCCGTCTAGCTTTGAGTTTGCTTTTAGGTTTGCTGCAAACAAATTACTTGCCTCTGCCACTTGAACTCTTAGTCACGTATCAGCCAACTAACTGGCTATTCACATTTCATTACAATGTTGTGCCTAAACAAATAAGACATGAGATCAAATTTTTAAAATGACAAGCCCAGATATGTGCCCAGAGTTTGCACACAACATTCAGGCTGGTTTCTGGTTTGGATGCATCTCTAAAAGAACTTCATATTTATTAAAGAAAGGCAAACACCTTGCGAGGCCTGGCTCTAATAGAAGTTTCTCCATTTTCATTGCTTTACCACATTGCCTGAAGAGTAGCAGGGAAGAGTCATTTTGGCAGTTGGAGAGGGAGGGGGGAGGCCTCGGGGTCACCTCTCTTGAAAAAGGATGGCTGCCTGATTAAATCTATGAAACGAAACAGCTGTAACAAGGTAGCATTCTGCCTGGGAGCCAGGAGCTGGGCCAGCTGGGCACTCTTTCAAACTCCCAAGGTCAGAAAAGGTTGGGACACCACCAGGAATGTGAGGAGAGACAGTCTGACGATGGGGAAGAACTGAGGTGCAACTTTCTATTTCCATAAATGAGTCAACAGATGGATGAGGTCAGCATTGGGTTTTAGAGAAGGAAACGTTGTCTACTAAGGCAAGAAATAATGGATATTGCCCTGTATCTGATTATATATATATATATATATATATATATATATGCAGGTTTTGGTGTCCTCGGGTGTCTTCCCGTGTAAAAGTTGGGGTGTCTAGGCGACGTTTCGACGAGGTCTCACTCGTCATCTTCAGGCTGGTGCTTTCGGCTTCTTGTTACTGGAACAGAGCAGGATCTCAGTGTTTGAGTTCCTATAAATACTGTTGAGGGGGTGTGGTGTATAGCTTCCAATGTTCTGGGCAGAGAGGAAGTTCCCAGGTTAGTGTGCCTTTTCTTCTTTTGTTCCTTAATTACTTGAGGGATATCTTGAGTGATTTCTTGAGTGATATCCTGAGTACCACTTAGGTGGGTCATTAGGTGTGGATTAGTTGCTAAAGCCTTCGTGTCTTGACCTCTTGAACTTTGTGAAGAGTTTTTCTGAGAAGATGGCTGTACTGCATTTAGTTGTGCTCTGGCTTGGCTTCGTGTATAGGGGCGAGCTGTGGTTTTGTGTCCTGTGCCAGCCAGATCTGTGTAGGGATTGCAGGGGGGTGCAGCATCCGGAGGTGCCACCATGGTTTGGCTACTGGATGGTGTCTGTAATTTATCTGTGGAGAGGGTCTGGGTTTGGGTCTGGTGTGGTTGATTGGTGATGGCGTTCTGTGTGCCTCTGGATCTGGTGTCGGTTTTTGTGGGGAGGGCTAATTTCCAGATGTCTGGCAGGCGGGATGTGTCCGCCTTTTACACGGGAAGACACCCGAGGACACCAAAACCTGCATTCCTGTACCCGTGAAAATCTACGAAAGCATATATATATATATATATATATATATGCAGTCGTACCATGGTTTTTGAACAGATTGCATTCTGGGAGTCAAAGGAACTATTCAAAAACCAAAGCGCAGCTTCTGATTGGCTGCAGGAGCTTGGAAATTGTGGGGACCCTTTGCCAAGTCCCAGGTGGAATATATAAAAAAAAATTTAAAAATTGTCCAGTAGCACCTTAGAGACCAACTAAGTTTGTTTTTTATTTTTTTATATATTTCGACTGCATCAGACCAACACGGCTACCTACCTGAATCCAGATCCCAGGTGGAAGTTCCACTTCTCCATGGGCGCTGCCTGGCTTTGAGCCCACGGCACTCCCTGCACATGCCCAATGGGTTGGCAAAAAGGCTGTAGCAATTGTCAAAGGATGCTGGAATCTTATTTGCAATCATGCAATGAACTAACAGCCTGAATGGACTTGGGAAAATGATATCATGCTAACTAACATTTGAGGCACACATTAAATTGTTGATATTTACGGTGGGGTTTCCCCCCACAAAACAGTTTCTTTTAAATGATATGAGAAAACTGATAAAATAGATTGATATCTATTCACAAATCTGTCAGGTGCTCTCCTAGATTATTCTATCAAAAAAAAATTCCTAACAAGCCCTTTGTGGAGATTGTTGGTTTTTTTAAGCTATTGACCAATGGAACTATTTTTAGAAGAAATAAAGTCTTCCAAGTTTTAAAAAACAAAGTTTTGCTGGAAATTTACTGATCCATCCTCCTAATTATGATGGCTCCAAAGGAGGCCAGAGGGTATTCTGTTGCTATTAAAATAAACAAAAACCTCAAAGGAAAAACCCACAATAAATTTATTTTTAAAAATATAGCATAAAGTGGCAACACAAGACAACATAATCTAGGATTTTTTGAGATGAAAGTAGGATCCTCACATTGTGGGAGATATTGTGACCTTCCCAATGAGCCCTCTTTTTTGTTACATTTGCCTATTTGTGCTTTAAAAATTCATGCAAGCAAAGTGGTCAAAAAATAGCTGATGTTCCAAGCCTTTATAATGGAAGCAGTGGGAAACATGAAACCCATATCAAGCAAATTTATTTGGTGTTCTCTAGAGTTCATGTGACATCTCTTCTGATTTTTCTGATGTTCTGATACATTTTCTGGCTGCACTTAAAAATGTAGAGAGTGAAAAAAGCTCCACAGAGCACTAGATGTCCCACAAGTAGCATCCACCAATCTTGTAACATCCCAACTGTTATGTACTGAGCTAGGATCCTAGAACAATAGGCACGTAGGATCCTAAGAGCGCAACAACCAGATTGGCCTGCAGGTCCCAGGAGGAAGCTAACCAGCCTATTAGGTCTGGAGGATCCTGGAATGCAACAACTGATTGGCCTGCAGGAGCAGCCCAGTCAGGCCCCAGAAGGGAAGCAGAGTCAGCCAATCACACAGGACCCATTTCAATGTTTACAAGCTGCAATAAAGAGCATGAAATCACCACGCAACTCTGAGTATATTTCACTAACACAAGTGAGCAGCGTCAGAGGCCCTTCTGCGATGGCATTCATATTTCCACAGTAAAAAAGGAAGGAGATACAGAGAAGGAGCCAAGATCTTGGACCCTCAGGAAACTCTGCCTAAGAGTAGATTATTAACTAGCTCATGGAATTGGAGCTGTTGTCGGATTACGCTGCCACCCTAGGAGAGGAATACAGATTTCATTTACTATAGCCTGCTTACTTTGTGCCGTCCCACAGAAGTGCAGACACTTGCCCCTGGGGCTGATGTTTCCAAACCCATTTCCTCAACAGGCCACTCAACAGCCACCATAAACCAATGCCTTTCACCACTGTTGACCTGAGGTACATTCAGACTGTTGACATGGAGTCTGCAAGATCCTTTGATTTTTTAAAATGTTATCCTATGTGCCATTTAAATGAAAAACTAAATATGGTAGGGTAACTACTTTCAACATGCCTTGCTTGTATTGCTCTTCCATGCTTATCCCAGGCGGGCAAAAACATTTGACCTGGGCTGTTCCAGCCACAATGACAACCACATGCCTTAGAGGTGGCTGCAGTTAGGTGGATACACATCAATCGGACTGATCCATGTTTGCAAAGTGCTTTTATATCCTGAGATGAAAAGGCCATGTGTAAAAGCCACCCCTTATTAAGGCCACTACTGCCCACAGGTTCAGAAAGGGGGATTCCTTTTCTACTGAAAGACCACATAAAGAATTCTCTATTTCTCTTTTTCATCTAATATCAAGGAAGTTCTGAACTGGTGCCTGAAGGGCTGGGTGGACGCAAGCAAACTGAAGCTCAATCCAAACAAGTCAGATACAGTATTAGGGGAGGATGTAGCAGACCAGCAATCTCAGATTACTACACCTGTGGAAAATAGAATTTGATTCTATCCTGCACAACAAATTAGATATTCCAGAAATTGCTAACACTGAAGTGTCCACTCACCACACATTCCCATTAGAAATATTACCATTAGCTTTTACATCAAGTGCAAAGCATGTCGTTTCACCTGTAAGAGAAACTCAGCTGCAACTAACTAGCAAACCAACAAAACAATCCTCTACTAAATGTCGAAACCAATAGCTTCAGCTCCGTCAGTCCTGTGGTCCACAGACACACGTCCCCCTGAGGAGTAGATGCAGAAAAGAGTCATACATGGGGATGTCACTCACATTACTTAGAGCACTGTTGGAAGAGCATTCATTTCTCATGATAGACCATGAAGAACCTGACTAAAACAGAAATGGCTGCGCTGGTTCATCTACTGTATATTTAAGTACTTTGGCATTTATCCTTTATATTTCCAAATAGCTTGTAAGACTTTTTTTGTAGATCATAATGATTTTAAAGAAATTTCAAGTGAATGGAGATCAGGCTGCCTTTGAAAATAAAAAATAAACTGACTTTTTTTAATGCACATGTGACCAGAATACTTAACTGACAATAATAATCATTCACAGGTACCAATGTTATTTCAAAACATATGATACAGAGAGGCAGACTAAACTTCTGTGCACCTAACAGAGGAAATCAAAACTATGATAATTAAAGGCAAATAGGCCTAGAGCAAAAATGCCTCTGTAAGATAAGCGAAAATATATTTCTATCATCTTCTTCATTTGTTTTTCTTGAAGACATTTAATTTATTTTTAAGCTAATAGATTAAACATTCTTCTCACAGTTCCTACAACTTTCTTAAATATGTGAGGAATACCCACCAGGCTAGGACCACCAGCAAATTTTTATGATTTCTTTACACTACAAATATTTGGCAGAACTCAAATTACCCAATAAAATAAACCTGTGGATTCATCTGCAGTTTTAGCTCCCAAGTATTTTTGGGCTTCTTCCCAAAATAACTGATGCCCATCATAGTCCAATATCAAAAGAAAATACATCTCAATTTTCATTTTATGGCCACCATCTGTTATTTAAAAACAAGAGTACACACCATAGCTGTCAAGGTGAATTGAAAGCATCTTATACTGAGTCAAGAATCCAGTTCAGTCAACTTTGACGGGCAGCATCTCTCCATGGTCTGAGCCAGACGTCTCTCCTAACACTGCAGCCTGAGTCTCTTTTAACCAGAGATGACAAGCCCATAACAGGAGCCCGTCACATGAGCTATTGCCCCTAGGAAGGAGTGAACCCATGTAGTGACCCAACGGTCTTTGGTTCCCACAATCCCTCAAACTAGCGAGGTACAAAATTTTGCAAAGTTAGTATTACTGCTTCTTTTGGGCTGATAACCCAAAAAGTCATTGGACTCACATTTGGAAAATGTTGATTCAGGAGAGTAGCACAATAATGCCAAACAACTTAATTAAAGTTACCGTCTAGCCTCTTGGGCAAGATATATTGAGTGGAATCTGATATTTTTTAAAGCCCTGTGCTCTTGTATTTTAACTGCAATCGGTATGCTGAGTGCAACATTGATTGCCATTAATTCCCTAAAATGTGTCTCTAAACTGTCCAGTCTGGGATGAAACATTGGCATCACAGAATGCATCTGCGGCCTTAGAAAAGAGAAGACCACCTCCACACAAAAGGAATTTTACCGCAAAGGATAGAGAAATCATTGCTAGCCTTCAATCGGACGAGAATATCGTGATAAAACCAGCAGATATGGGGCGGAGCCATAGTTATTATGAATACTCAGGATTATACCGCAGAGGTAAATAGACAATTGCAAAATAGCAATTTTTATAAACCACTGCCCAAGGACCCTACCGACGATGTATCCAGAATAATCAGGACCACCTTATCAGAAGGCATATCTTTTGGATACCTCGACAAAAAAACAACTGAATTTTTATTCAACAAATATCCACGTACCCCAGTATTTTACATACTTCCAAAAATTCACAAATCACTCAATGCTCCACCAGGTAGACCGATTGTCTCAGGTAATGACTCTCTTTTGGAACCCCTTTGTCAGTATATGGAATATTATCTGCATCCATTCGCTATCGACACTCCGTCTTATATTTTGGATACGAAAACATTTATTGGACACGTCGAGAATACCACTATACCAAAGGAGGCCTCCCTTGTCACCCTGGATGTCGAGTCTCTGTATACAAATGTCCCGTTACCTGAAGTCAGGACGATTATAGAAACACTTTTGGATTCCAGACCCACGAGAGAACCTCCAACACATTTTTTGCTCGACATTCTGGATATCATTTTGGATTATAACTTTTTTCGTTACTTAAAACAGTTCTATCTGCAAATTAAAGGCGTAGCAATGGGCTCCTCCTGTGCCCCTTCTATTGCGAATATTTATATGATACACTTTGAAAAAACTTTCATCCTTCATGACAACAATCCTTTCAGATCTAAAATAATCAAGTATTATCGGTTTATAGATGATTTATTCTTTGTCATACAGGATCAAGACACAGCAACACAATTTCTCCAATGGATCAGTGACCAAGATCCAAATATACGACTGTCTGGTACCATTCATGATACATCAGTTAATTTTCTGGATGTTACAGTCTTTAAAGATCACTCTCAACAACTTAAGATCCGCCCATACCATAAACCAACTGATCGAAATTCATTATTACACGCTTCATCCTTTCACGCTCCACATTTATTGAATAACTTACCGTATGGACAGTACTTAAGACTAAAAAGAAATGCATCGTTCCAACATGACTATAAAATAGCGGCCTATCAACTCACACAGTCCTTATTACAACGAGGATACACATCACGGACTCTCACTGCAGCTCAAGATAGAGCGGAAGTGAAAAACAGGAAAGACCTTCTTGCTATAAAAACCTCGGATAAACCCAGAGAAGATCGTATTTGCACATCACTGCAATTTACACCACATACTTCTAGCATTAAGAAACTCATATATAAACATTGGCATTTGCTATCCAACATCCCAGGATGTCAAAAACCACCTATAATTGGTCTAAAAAGAACAAAATCACTGAGGAATTATTTGGTGAAATCGGACCAACTTACATACCCGGAAGCATCAACTAAAGGCCACTACAAATGTGGTAGTTGCAATGTATGCAAATACGCACTACAAGTAAAGGAGTTCACCAACATACAGACCGGCTTCAAGTTTCAGATTGAACACTTTAGTAACTGTAACACGAAGAATAGCGTGTATGCATGGATGTGTCCATGCCACAAGATATACATAGGCAAAAGCACCAGACCAATCAAACTACGCATAAATGAACATCGATCACGGATCCGCAACAGAGTGCTAGAAGCCCCAATGGTGGAACATTATATACAGCAAAAACACACGGAGGATGATTTTGTTTTCTTCATTATCTGGAAACCAAAAGTAGATTTATATACCAGGAGAAATATTGATAGACTATTGTTATAACAGGAAGCACGATATATTCATCTGTTTGAAACGATGTCCCCCAAGGGCCTGAATGAACATCAAGACTACAATTCTTTTCTTTAAAAAACCATTATAGATGACCTTGGATTTTAAATCTCTTCTCTGTTTACACCTTTAAGAAGGGAGAGCCTATCATCCTCCCCCACAGACACATATATAAGACAATGATCTCACTCCCTAATAGAAAACGCACAGAGAAACGCAAGAAAACTTGGATTCAATTATCTAAGGTGAGAAAACACTCATCTGATGTCCGTTTTTAAAAACAATTTGACTGGAAATAATAATTCTTGTAAATTCTTATTTCTAGACGCATGTTGAAAAAGAAACATAAAAGAACTATATGATATGATATAGACTTCCAACAGATTTATAGTCCTCAAAAAACCGAGGTATGGAACCAAATATGATATGTGCTAATTCACTTTAGAATGTATATACTTTATTATATTTATGATCTATGGAATTGAAGAACCTTGATTTATTTTGACATATTACTTGATATCACCAGCTGAAGAAGGCGTTTACTCCGAAACAGGGCCCTGTCCTGGTCACCACTACTGAGTCGTACATCTGATTCATACTCCGGATACTCCTTTTTGGCTCTTTATTCTTTATTCTGAGTTTATATAATATGGACTCTTTTTGACTACCATTGAGACTTGTATAAAACTATTGTTGTGTACTGGTATTTTATGTACCTTTATACTATATTATTGCATACTAATATCTAAATTTATTATTATCTTAAAACCATTGTACTCACACGTTGTGTTTAAATTTACTATCAGCTTTAAACTGTCATTCTTTGCAGAATATACACTTTTTTTTCTTTTCAACCCTTGAGTAGTAATTAATCCTTACATTGAAACTTGTGGCCAGAGTTCTTGGGATGAAACATTGGCATCACAGAATGCATCTGCGGCCTGGTTCAGCTCTCACTGGAACCAAAGAATTTCCCCCCACTGATTTCAATGAGCTGCCTTTGAATTAAAGTCTTTGCACTTCAGCTCCACAGTTGTGCAGGATTTTCCAGCATAGAAAGCCACAAAAAGCTCAACAGTAAAAATGCTTCTCCTCCTCTGATGACTTTATTTCTAAAACTAGCTGAAACCTGTGAGGAAGGGCTCTCTTAATACCACCTTCAACAATCAGAACTGGCTTTTCTTTCTGTCATTGCCCAGTCAAATCAGATTAGAAAGCTCACCATGAATAGAACTTGACTGAGATCAAGCCAGAAGTTCCAGGATTCACAAAAGCCTTTCCATCCCAAAACCTTGTATTTTTTTTAAAAAAAGTTTTACATACAGGAGGCCTTACAAATCTCATAAACCACTCATAGGCCATGTCCACTTTGCATAGTTGCCAACAGACAGGAATGTGGCATTTGTTTCCAATTTCAGACTTACAACTTCAAGGCTGCCTTGTTTGATTCTGTGTCATATTATACCTAGGAAGGCTGAGGCTGGATCTACATTGATCTTCTAAACGTTATTGAATGTCCTATAAGTTTCAATGGCAGTTTCTCATTGTCGGTGGCTCGCAGCCTTCTGGTATCACATGTTAATACCACATTTTAACGTTATAAATGACAAGTGTAGATCCATCCCGTGATTGTCTTATATGATATTTAGGCAAGACTGAAGACCCTGATGAAGAGAAGAAGAAGAAGAGTTTGGATTTGATATCCCGCTTTATCACTACCCTAAGGAGTCTCAAAGCGGCTAACAATCCCCTTTCCCCTCCTTCCCCACAACAAACACTCTGTGAGGTGAGTGAGGCTGAGAGGCTTCAGAGAAATGTGACTAATGGAAACATTGGATGAGCCAAAGAGCTGTAGCTAATCTGACCATTTTGAACCCATGCAATAAACAGTAGCAACCCCTGCTGCTGACGGCTATGAGGCATTGGGTGTATGTGACAACAATATTGCCTATTTCAGCATCTGTCAAGATGTGGTGGTAGAGGCAACAGGTGTCTCAGCACCATGCAAAAGCACCTGGTGTTACTCTCCTGCTGATGACAGGCAAGGCGGGTTTTCTCCACCCCTTGGAGTTGCCCTTTAGCGGCAATCAGCAATTCCTGCCAATGAACTGCTTCACCCCCACCAAGGAATAACTGGCCTAATCTGCATATCATTTTGCATGACAACAGTTCATGTCAACTTAGTGATGGTGGAATTGTGGTCTTTATGGTGTGGTGTTCATCATCAGGCATACAGGACGTTTTTAAAATATACAAAGTGTGGGAAAGCTCAAAACTCCCCCACCTAGAATCATAGAGTTGGAATAGACCACAAGGGCCATCGAGTCCAACCCCCTGCCAAGTAGGAAACACCATCAGAGCACTCCTGACATATGGTTGTCAAGCCTGTGCTTAAAGACCTCCAAAGAAGGAGACTCCACCACACTCCTTGGCAGCAAATTCCACTGTCGAACAGCTCTTACTGTCAGGAAGTTCTTCCTAATGTTTAGGTGGAATCTTCTTTCTTGTAGTTTGGATCCATTGCTCCGTGTCCGCTTCTCTGGAGCAGCAGAAAACAACCTTTCTCCCTCCTCTATATGACATCCTTTTATATATTTGAACATGGCTATCATATCACCCCTTAACCTCCTCTTCTCCAGGCTAAACATGCCCAGCTCCCTTAGCCGTTCCTCATAAGGCATCGTTTCCAGGCCTTTGACCATTTTGGTTGCCCTCCTCTGGACACGTTCCAGTTTGTCAGTGTCCTTCTTGAACTGTGGTGCCCAGAACTGGACACAGTACTCCAGGTGAGGTCTGACCAGAGCACCAGGTGAGGTCTGACAGTGGCACTATTACTTCCCTTGATCTAGATGCTATACTCCTATTGATGAGGCCCAGAATTGCATTGGCTTTTTTAGCTGCCGCGTCACACTGTTGGCTCATGTCAAGTTTGTGGTCAACCAAGACTCCTAGATCCTTTTCACATGTACTGCTCTCAAGCCAGGTGTCCCCCATCTTGTATTTGTGCCTCTCATTTTTTTTGCCCAAGTGCAATACTTTACATTTCTCCCTGTTAAAGTTCATCTTGTTTGTTTTGGCCCAGTTCTCTAATCTGTCAAGGTCGTTTTGAAGTGTGATCCTGTCCTCTGGGGTGTTGGCCACCCCTCCCAGTTTGGTGTCATCTGCAAATTTGATCAGGATGCCCTTGAGTCCATCATCCAAGTCGTTGATAAAGATGTTGAATAAGACCGGGCCCAAGACAGAACCCTGTGGCACCCCACTAGTCACTCTTCTCCAGGATGAAGAGGAACCATTGATGAGCACCCTTTGGGTTCGGTCAGTCAGCCAGTTACAAATCCACTGAGTGGTAGCATAGTCAAGACCACATTTTACCAGCTTCTTTACAAGAATATCATGGGGCACCTTGTCGAATGCCTTGCTGAAATCAAGGTAGGCTACATCCACTGCGTTCCCTTCATCTACCAGGCTTGTAATTCTGTCAAAAAACGAGATCAGGTTAGTCTGACATGACTTATTTTTCAGAAATCCATGCTGACTATTGGTGATCACAGCATTCCTTTCTAGGTGCTCACAGACTGTTTGCTTAATGATCTGCTCCAGAATCTTCCCTGGTATTGATGTCAGACTGACTGGGCGATAATTATTTGGGTCCTCTCTTTTCTCCTTTTTGAAAATAGGGACAACATTTGCCCTCCTCCAGTCTGCCGGGACTTCGCCTGTTCTCCAGGAATTCTCAAAGATGACTGCCAGTGGTTCTGAGATCACATCCGCCAGTTCTTTTAATACTCTTGGATGCAGTTCATCTGGCCCTGGAGACTTGAATACATCTAAACTAGCCAAGTATTCTTGTACTATCTCCTTAGTTATTCTGGGCTGTGTTTCCTCTGCTGAATCATTTGCTCCAAATTCTTCAGGTCGGGCATTATTTTCTTTATCGGAGAAGACTGAGGCAAAGAAGGCATTGAGGAGTTCAGCCCTTTCTGTGTCCCCTGTTTGCATTTCACCATCTTCTCCTCTGAGTGACCCCACTGTTTCTTTGTTCTTCCTTTTGCTACGGACATACCCATAAAAGCCTTTTTTGTTGCTTTTAACCTCTCTAGCAAGCCTGAGTTCATTCTGTGCTTTAGCTTTTCTGACTTTGTGTCTACATGTGCTGGCTATTTGTTTGAATTCCTCTTTGGTGGTTTCCCCCCTTTTCCATTTTTTGTACACATCCTTTTTTAATCTTAACTCAGTTAAAAGTTCTTTAGATAGCCACCCTGGCTTCTTTAGGCACCTTCCATGTTTCCGTCTCATTGGTATTGCCTGAAGTTGTGCTTTTACTATCTCCCTCTTAACAAACTCCCAGCCATCATGAACTCCCTTTCCTTTTAGTATTACTGTCCATGGGATCTCACCCAGCACTTCCCTAAGTTTTACAAAGTCGGCTTTCTTAAAGTCAAGAAATTGAGTCCTAGTATGCTTGGCTGCTCCTTTCCGCTGTATAGTAAACTTCAGAAGAGCATGATCACTCGCGCCTAATGATCCTTCCACTTCTACCCCACTAACCAGGTCCTCAACATTGGTTAGGACCAGATCTAAAATGGCTGTTCCTCTTGTTGCTTCTCCCACTTTCTGGACAATGAAGTTGTCTGCAAGGCCAGTGAGGAATCTGTTTGACCTTATGCTCTTGGCTGAGTTTGACATCCAACAAATATCCGGGTAATTGAAGTCCCCCATTACTACTATCTCCCTTCCTTTTGCATGCTTGGCCATCTGTTCCAGGAAGGCATCATCTATGTCCTCCGTTTGGCTTGGGGATCTATAGTAAACTCCCACAATGAGGTCTCTGTTATTCTTCTCTCCCTTAATTTTGACCCAAATGCTCTCACTTTGGCTTTGAGGTTCTAAATCTTGGATCTCTTCACAGGTATACACATCCCTGACATATAACGCCACTCCTCCTCCTTTCTTGTCTGGTCTGTTTCTCTGAAATAGATTGTATCCCTCCATTATTACATTCCAATCGTGGGACTTATCCCACCAGGTTTCAGTGATGCCTATTATGTCATATTTAGTTTGCTGTACCAAGAGCTCAAGCTCATCTTGTTTATTTGCCATGCTTTGCATGGGAAATAATCATCTGATCACCTGAAATGCCCTTTGAATTCTGCTTGGCCTGGGTTTAGATATGGGGAAATTAAAATGCAGATTTCTATGCTGCTCATGTTGTCCTGATTCATCATACAGTACTCTTTAAAACAAAACCTGTAGCTATCTAACCCGTGTACGGCTTCATTAGATCTGCTTCTTGGAGGAGATTCAAGGCTTTCAAGCTTGTATGCAGACTGGGAAGGGAATCCAGAGAATGATTCCACGGTGTTTGAAGCTGTTTTGATCAAGAGCTACAGGAGGAATAAAGGGCAGCGCAGACCCAGCCCTGGAGGAGGAGCTATTATCCTCAACTCCGCTATTATTAGGATGGGGCCTCTCAAATCCATACTCTCAAATGGAGCAGACTTGGCATAGGTTTGTGAGTCAGGAGCTCCAGTTCCCATCAGGCTCACCTGCTGAGACTATTCTGCTTTCCTAGCAATCCTGTCTTTGCGGGGGGGGGGGGGAGAATAGCAGCT